TTCTCATTCCCTCTCATTATCTCGGCCCCCTGAGAACATATGAGGTTACTTACCTTCCTTTGCTCCCTGCCTAATGCCAAGAGTCAGATCAGGATCATTAGCTTCACTACTTGGAACAAATGGCTTTAGATAGCATCTCAGCCAAACTGCAACAAGAAAAGATTTAAGCTGCTTATTTTACATTTAAATTGTGTTTTTAAAAGTAGAAGTTTATCTTTATGATTATTTTTAGCATTGTTAGGTGTTAAACTGGCATTCATTTCAAATGAACTTTCACTGTATTTAAATTTTTTCAGCGTTGGATTCAACAATCAACAATTCTGCTAATCATCGCAGCTGTGTGCTTGAAGACGAAAAGCACAGAGGGGAGAAGTGGGCAGCAGATCAAAGCATGAGGAGGATTCTGTCTGGCAGACAGTGGCAGAGGTCCTGTCTGCTTAGACTCTCTCTCCTCTTGTGTCTTCTTGCACCTTTCTATGTCTGCGTACGTTCCCAACCAAAACAATTGCCCCCTTACATTCCCAACATGAAAATTAGAGATTGCAGACAGGAACAGGTCAGTCAAAACAGGCAGCAGTTGTTTTCCTAAAGTGGCTCATGCGTGGGACCACATTTGGAGGCTGCCATGTCTTTCCTTCTGTTAATGAAGTGCTAAGCACTGCACAGGTGTTCATTGCAGAGCTATCACCCCTTTGATTTAAATTTCTTATTTATTTTGCTGCAGCCTCCTAAAGTATTGGGCTTCCACGTCTTTAATACAATGTGTATTAAATGTAAAATGGGATAGCCTAGAAATTATATTAATGATAATACTGATAATGATAGTAATAGGCCAATGCTGCACTGTTTTCATCTAAAGTCAGAGTTTTTTCATAAAGCTTTATCGTGAGGCTTGTGGCCTATCAGTCGAGGGGTGGTTCGGATGTCTTTTTTTTAGGCTAAAAGTTACGCCCAGAAGATGGATATAATTAAGACTAGTGAGTTTCATCGGTATTTGGGGAACTTCTCTGGGTGGTCTCGCTCTACATGTCTGTGCTAGTTTTATTGTAAACAGGCACAACATGGTAAGAGCGCATACATACAAACCAACAAAGCAGATTAGCAACGCTGTGCGACATAAACCTGAAAAACAGTCTCGCCGTATGTTTCCTGCCGCATTACCGGCTTGATTGTTTGGACACGGTGCTGCAGAAATTATCAAAGCAGCGACAGACATTACTAGAAGGGAGCTTAAACATCACTGCTTTGCTTTACTGAGAAGAGCTGTGAATGTACAGCCCTTCTGCATTTCAATGTGTAGCTAACTTTAGCCTATATCCAAATCTGTATTTAGCCTCTGAATGGAAGCCATCTGTTTGAACTTCCCATAAAAACCATAAAGGCTTTTTCCCCCCCTGGTATTTAAAATTATTTATGTTCTTCTAGCAATCTCTTAGCCCTAAAAGGCTGCTACAAAATTGCCGGATTTTTCCATCATCAACATCTCACATATTGTACATTTTAAACCTGGGTGGCCCTCCAGAATAGGAAGTCTTCCTGTCTTTTGCTCCACTCGCTAATGTAAATTAGGCCGAATTTGATTTTAAGTTAAACAACACAAAAAATTCACACAGTAACTGAATGGCATAGCATGCTATGCAAATGTTAATTGTGGAGGAACATCATAACACAAATAATGAAGCATCTTAATAATGATATATGAAAAGCTGCGATGCATTGATTATTTTCTGGTAATTACATTTTGACAGATTTACTGGAATGCAGTTAGGACCTGCAGCAAGAGCTTTACCAGCAGCCCTGATTCATTCTTTTTTTTTTTTTTCCTCCCTACCAAAAATACTTCCTCTGTTCGATGAAATGCTCCTATCTCAATTAACAGCCTTTTCCCCCCGTTGTGTCTACTGGCCTCTATGAGTAAACATGGATTTTATGGTTGCATTTTATTTTCCAAACAAGTGGGTGGTCCCATTCTTTTAAATGTACTAAGGGGTTCACTTTTTTTAAGTGTGCTTGGGCTTTAATGGTGGTAGCACTTCCCTGTTCTCAGCAGGCATACAGACAGAAAGATTGGAACATTTGGAGAAAGAAGGAAAAAAGGAGATAGCGTGATGAGAAACGATGCTAGATAAATAAATCAGCAACATAGCACAAAACAGAGGTATAACTTAAAGATGAAACACTTTCCTCTAAGAGAAATAGGAAATAAAAGTGAATATGTATTTTTTAAAGGCATATTCGAAAAATCTAAAGCTTCTTTGATGTGCTATCACATGAAGTACATTTCATATATGTTATTTTTATATGTTGTTTACTTTAATTCTTAAACTAAAGCAAAAACGGCTATTAACCTTCTTGATTTAGTAGAGGTTTTCCAGATGTGTATTATGGAAACTAATACTGCTTCTATAAATGTCCAGCTGCTTAGCAGAAACTCTGCTTCTTGTTTAAGAGTAATTTAAAAATATGACCGTAATAAGACTTTTTTTTTCACACCTTAAATTATCTTATGTCCCCCAAAATATTTCCAGACTAAAGTATTTATTGTTATCTGGAGTAGAAGTAAGTACAATCAGTTTTCATTTCACATTTTTAATATGCAGAGGTGAGGTTTCATTGTGAAGTCTTTAAAAGGGCCACTTTCAGCTGTTTAAATTAAACTTTTTTTTTCAGAATTTTATTTACAAACTGCTCTTAAGCTATAACTTTACTCCCATTTATTTTGGCGTATTAGCCACTTTAGCACTTTAAAATAACATACCTCTGTAGTTTATGGCATGATATGAATGTTTTGGCTCTTGAGAGCCAGTTAAATTGCTGTTATGGGTCTGAAGGTTTGACATACAAGAGTTATTGGATGGAAGGCCGTTTGTAATAGTTGTTTAAAAATTTGTGTATTAATAAAGATTATTATTGTTAATAATTATCCAACAGATTATATTTGCAAAAAAAAAAAAAATTGGGGTATGCAACTATGCCTTGGGTAGGTATATTGGTATAGCGATATACAGGGTTACCAGATTTTGCCTGATCAGAGAGGAGATATTTTATTCTTATTTTTAACTTCTTGACAGAAGCCCTTAGTTGGCATAATAATCTGCCTTTATTGTATTAAGCAGCTTTCCTGTGCTATCCTCTGTCTCTATTTAAAATCAAAGGGAAGTACGAACAATTTCATGTGTCGTCAAGGTCAATCATTGTTCACCTCGAGAATGTAGATGAAAAAGCATGTATCTTTCAGCAACGGGCCATTTGAATATGTTTTTAGGCCTACAGTTATAGCATTTTCTTTTCTTTTTTTAAGTTTCACTGTGTTTTTTATAATAACCTAGTATAACAACCTAAAAGTGTATGACTTATTTAATACAGCTGTGGTCTCATCCTGTTGAAATGTTTTAAAGCTCACCCATTTGAATAATATATCCATCTATGCACATAACACAAGATTAGAATAAGAAAAGTTTAATTTTACACACTTAGTGATGTTTATATAAAGAAAAAAAAAAGAAATAGTTGATATTTACCTGTTGTGCTTAAACTTGCAAATTTCTACTACATATATTTATTAACCATCTCTTGTACATATCTAATTATGACCGCTTCCTCTGGTATGCCAAAGGGCAGACATGATACCAAACCAGAACAAAAAGGAAATGAAAAAGACTCAGAGGGACTACTTAAAACTACAAGCAGTGGCATTTTTGAAGAATTCATTAACGCGGCATAAATTAGCTTCAAAAAAACATTAATGAATGTGACTTCCACAGGATTTGTGATGTGCTTTGCTAACCACAAATGAGCCGTCAGTTTTTAGAGAGCACCATATTGTACCATAACAACTAAGGGCTAAATGACATTAAAATGAAAGAAAGCTGCAGCTGCTCATATAACAACAAAAAAAAAAAAAAACTAAATTTGAAAAATGCTGTGTTTATTTTGTCCAAAAGAAAAGGAAAAATATAAAAACATACATATAACAAAACTAGAAATTGGTTTTAGATTTTTTTTTTAAGAGAAAATTTTTCGGAACAATGTATCAATGAACTCTGTAAATGTTTTATATTCTGTATTTTTATATAACAGATGTTTGCACAATATTGTTTTTATCCTTCCTTCCAGGTATAGGTTGATCAAATGTATCTATTCTCAATATAAAGTATTGATACTCAGATGCTATATTCAGATACAATACTAATCAGGCATGTTATTGGTACCAAATGCTATTTTAATTTTGCACATTTATTCAACTAGCATCTGTAATTTGAAATCTGGAATCAAAAATAGTGCTGAGTTTCCCAATATTTTCCTGGATACTGATTTACTGAGTTTGAAAATTTACTGCTGTGACAACGCAGGTTGACTATAGACTTCATTTGGACTCATCCAGCTTTTTATCATCAGACACAGAGCTATAGTATACAATACATCACAACCAGTGCCCTCGTAAACCTGAAGTTCTTCAGTGGGAGTAGAACACAACATTAAAGCATTTTCTACAGTAGCTCTGTTGGCCACTACAATATACAGCTTCTGATGTGTGTTTTTAAATCAAAGTCTTTTATTTCAGAGATGCTGATTTAATATGATTCTAAGAGTGGAGCTCTTTTGTTGTTATATCAGAGGCTAATGTACACACCCAGCAGCTCATTTTCTACCCTGCAAAGGACCACCCAAGGTGTTGATAGGATCTGGTCCACTTCAAAGTGTTTTTTTTTTTGTTTTTTTTTACACAAATGAAAATATGCAAGTTCTTTAGTAAAACTGAAGCAGATATAGTTTGCACATTATATGTTGTTATATAATTAAAACCTAAACAAACATTAAATTACATTTTGCTGATTGAAATCCATTCCCTGTCTTTACTACGTTTTGTTTTTGTGCAAGAGTGTGTGTCTTTTCCTACTGATGCATTTGTATAACATTTTAATAACATGCTTTAACCAGACAACACCTTGAATTTACCCTGTACTGCTTTTTTTTTCTTCTGTTTGTTTTCTACCCAGGTCCAGACATGAAGAAGGCACGAAAGCATCCACACAAGCGAAGTGCAATGGCACCTAGAGGCTGTCTGCGGTCTACCACTATCAAGCTGCACACACACACATACACACACACACACACACACACACACACACACACACACACACACACACACACACACACACACACAGAGCCTTTTACAGTAAGGATCAAGAGACCACCGAGTCAGGATGATAATAAGATTTAAGAAAAAATATTCCTATTGTCCTTGTGCTTGCTTCTTTAACTTTAAGGATACGTTCTTATTTTTAAATGTGGAATTTATAGAAGAAAAGTAAGTAACAGCCATATATAGTAAAAAAACAAGCAAATTAGAACAGTGCAGTCTTTTTTTTAATCAAATTTCATTTTTTTTTCAATTCAGATATTTTGAGCAATACAGAATTTGACGTGTATATAACGTCTTAATGTTTTTATGCGTTAGAGAAGCCTACATCTATTTTCATCTCCCGTGTTTCCTATTCGTACAAGTTTAACATTCCCACCACACATCCCACAACACCTCTGTAACCAAGCCGCATAACCAACCCAGCGCCCCTCCCAGGCTTCCCAGCATCCTGCCGAGCACACCCTTCAAAATAAATCCTCCAAGCCGAAATTACAGTGCGGAACTGTGGGAAACCCTTCCCTCTTTTGTATCACGATACCCCCCCCCACCCAATCTGCTGATTCTTGGGCTTCGCTTAATTCTAAGGATGCTGTATTTTAATTTAAATTAGAATGAAGTACAACAAACAGCATACACTAATATTAATCTGCAGCTACAATTAGGTTTAGAAGTTATATACGGTATATATATATATATTCAGTTTTTCTGGAAAAGTTTGTGCAGACATTCTAGGAGTTTGAGGCATTAAATATTAACACATAAAGCTACAGGGAAATAAAAATGACTTTTTTGTGAATAAATACACACTTATTTTTTACGAATGAGGAAAACAGTTCAACTTTCTTTGTGATTGATTTGAAACGGATGCTGATAATTCTTCGTCATTTTTCAAGAAGAAAAACATTTCTAATGAACACCCCTAATTAGCATACTAATTATTTCACTTTGATATTCTGCTTACTGCATCTCCGAGTTATCAAATTGAGGCACTCAGAACGTACTGCTGTGAAGAGGCTACAACTGCTCAGACATTGTGTAAAGAAAAAAACATTAAATATATTTCGGCATTGCATTTATATATTTTAACAAATCCTGTGGCGACAGCTAACAACAAACAATGTGACTGTCAAGAGCTCAGACTTACAGAGCTACTAAAATGAAGTTTATTATACAAAAAATGTTAACAGAAGTTGAAAAATAGCCATCTCAGATTTTAAAGCAGCCCAGTTCATTTTCAGCTATTATTTTAACCTACGACACCAGCCTCATGGTGTCCATATCAGAGTCAAGCTTTAATGATATACTCCATCAGTTGAGCTTGTTTCCTGCACGAGGCCAGCTTGGTTAACAGTCGGTTGAGGGTAAGTGTGTGTGTGTGCAGACTATTAAAGCACTCGAGAATCAGAGAGGAAAGAACTCGCGCTGCTAATGGATGTGTCTATTGATGTTCCCATTTGGCGGCACACTGTAAACGATAGGGCATGATTGTGTTGAAGATGGAAGGTGGTGGTGGAAGAGTGGAGAGGAGAGCGGTTTTGCTTGGTGATGATAATGACATGGAAGGTTGTTATTCGGCGCCCCATGGAGCCTCTCTCTCTTTTTTCTCCTTTGTGTGTATTTGGATGAGAGAGAGTGTGTGTAGAGGTACTCATCCTTTATGTCTCTCAATGATGTTGCCTTCACCAGCCCATAGGCTATCATTAACTTCTGCCTTTTTCTCTCTCAGCCCACACCTTTCATGACATTAGTTACTGCTCCTGCTCTTCATCCCATCAGGGCTATCTCTTTACCATAAACACCTCATTTTCCATGACCAAACAGTCTATATTATTTCATTTACAATGTATAACATTCATAACTGGGGTATAAAAAAACCCAACAAAAAGAGCTTCTTAGGATATGATTAGCTTGTTTAGAAAACAAAATGTTTATTTCCATAAAAAAACTGAATCTAAACTATAACATATAACTGCTTTGATTTAAACTAGAAAAGCAACAGCTAAAATAACTGCAAAAAACGAAACATATATGTTTACTATCATTTTAATGTGTTTCATAATTCATTAATTTTTATGTATCCCCTATCACTAAAGCACATTTAAAATAGAAAACACTAGATTTAGGAGTGCTATTTACTCACGTCTAGCAAGCTGATGTTAGCTGGTCAGTCAGTTGGGCTTTTCTCGCTGTAGTTAGATTAATTAATTACTTATCACAGATGCTGTTCAATACTAAATAGCTGCAGTTTTGAAACAGCATAACCTTTATAGGATGGCTAGGTAGTATAAATTGCATGACTGTCCAGAAATATTTCTGAACAGCTGAATATGTCTTTCTCAGAAGGTAAAATTACTTCTTTCAGCCAGCTGATTGGTAGTGCACAGCGACAGGGTATGAAGGGCAGCTCCATTACTCTGTGCCTTATTCAGCACCGAATACACTCCTGACCTCAGCACTTTCTTTTCAACTTATTAAAAGTATTTTAATCCAAAGGAACGGAAAACTACCAATATTAAAATGTTTAGCCTTGTTCCACTATAACCAACATATACCTCATTTAGCTATTGAATCATTATCCAGTAGCTTTTCTTTTTAAAACCTGTGTGCTTTGAATTGGTGTGTGTGTGTGTGTGTGTGTGTCCTGTCAGTTCCAATCAGTGTGTGATGAATATGAATAGTCAGCCTCCCTGCAGGTTTGGCAGGAGACCACATCCAGCTGGACTCAGACTTCTGCTTGAGTGTCTCGGTGTGCGTTTTGTGAGTGCGGTTGTACAAGTCAGTTTGTATCTGTCAGCGGTGACAACCTCAGGGGGAAATGACAAACTATGCATGCAAATTGCAGAAATCAATGCATCAACTCAGTTTACTTATCTTTTTATATTTTTTTTTCTCACATACTTTATGGGAAAAATCTGAAACATGTTTGCATCAAATGCTAAAATGTTCATACATCATATTTCATTTAGTCTCAACTCCTTTTTTTCTTAGTTTATTTTGATTACTCTACTTCCTCACTATTATTTTTAGGAGATTGAAATTATTTTCAAAACATCTTGTCCCTGCAGTAAGAATCCATCTATCGTTTTGTGTGCATGTGTGCTTATAATTGCAGTGCTGCAGATAAAGAATGAGACGCCATTCCAGCTGTGAGGAGAAAAGAGTCATATACCACGGACGCAATAATCGCTGCACACACAGAGGCGTTTGCGCTCACACTGGGGGGGTGGGGGTTGAGCACGAGCAGGTGAGCATTAAGCCAGGGTGCTAAACAGATCACGTCACGGTGTGATATCTGCAGACAGAGGAGGCCGGTCTGTACGTGCAGGCTGAGAACAGCGACTCCCAGCACCTAGGAGGAATTTCCTGCTACTCCTGGGAGGAAGGCGTGTTGGAGGTGAAAGACGGGTGCAAACAGAGCCTTTGGCCATTCTTCTCCAAAGCTAGGTCTTTCTCACCTCATTAAAATTTAAATGGACCACATATAATAAAAATCTTATAATCGTTTTCATTTAAAACTGCCTGATCAATAAAAAAATTTTTTTTAAATTTGATAAATGTTAAAAAAAAATTTTTTACTTTTTGATAACTCATTAAGTTGTTTGTAAGAAGAAAAAAAAATGGTGTCGACCTTTAGTTCTTCAGCTTTATTATAGAAATCTTGCCTATTTGATGTTATTTTTAGAATTTTATGCATAATCTCCCTCCAGGCAAAAGCTCACACTTCCAAGTTTAAAATTAGCTCCTGTGATGAAATGAAGCAGAGGAGTTAGATTGACAGCAGTAGAGGAAAAATAGGTGCAAAATCTCTGCAGACATTGTGTTTTGGCAGAATACATTTCAGTCCCTATGTTCTCCTGTAAAACTCAGCTAGTAAAGGGACAAAAATAAAATGGAACAGTTTTGGTCACAAGCCTGTCAAAGCGAGCAGCGTTTGCAAGGGATTTACTAACCAGTATGATTTGTCTGTCTGGAAATGCTAGTCTCTGCTGATAAAGTCCGCAGCACTAATTGTGAAATGCTGACAGTCCTCATTACACAAACCTGCCTTGCGATTTTCTTGGAGCATTGTCAGAACTGTCCATTGTTTTGTTTTTTTCCTCCTTGCACAAATTCAGCTGGCCATGTATATATATATATATATATATATATATATATATATATATATATATATATATATATATATACACAGCAGTAAGAAAAGTCCTATATAGTCCTATATAGTTTTTTGTCAGAATCACTGAGCAAAATTTTGACAGACATTTTTTTTTTTTTTTTGGAACAGAAAGCTTTCAATTCATGTCTTGCATCAGTTTATTCTGTTCACTAACCCCTCAGTCAGACTCCTTTGTGCAGTTTGAGCCATTTGCATGCCTGCACAGACTCTTTGAGCGGTGCTATTCTTGGAGGGAAAGTTCATGACTTTTAAAGTTAGGCGCTTCATTAGATATAATTCCAGATTACTTGGACCTAAAGACTTAAACTAACTGCTATCTGAAGTGAACCTTCAGCTCAGTCATAGTGCTTAGTGCCAATAAAATCTCATGTACGCTGGCCTTTTTACCGAGCATCCAACAATTATTTTTCAGAGGAAATCAGTGTCACCAATTACCTTCATGTGAAATTTAATGAGAACATGGAATTTAAAGCATCCTCTTAGAGTATTTCTTTAATATAGAGGCAAAGGGTTGTGAAACACATGAATGTCCTAGTGGTTAATATGTCTTTAATTTCTATCACTATTTATTTTAACATCTGTTGACTTTAGGGCTTCAGCTATCAATTATTTCAGCAAATAGATTAATCAATAGATTTTTTGGTTTACACAAATATAATTTTAGTCAATTAATCCTCATTAGATTAACATTTTTAACTTAATTTTATATTAAAGATATGTAAAATATATAATTATGATAATATATGTATATTAATTTTTATAGAAATTGATATATATACATCAAAAGCAAAAGATAAATTTTCTAAGTATTT